AACCCGAAACCAACCCTAAACCCTCTACGCAAGCGCTTAGCACGTCAGCTGAAACTTGGAGGTGGGCGTTTGAGGTTTGGGTCCGAGGATCTTGTACGTTGGTTCCGGATGCTTCAGAGCGTTCCAACTGAAGGCCAAGACTTAAAAATCGTGGCAGTAGTCCACTATGGCGAAGGTTCGCAGATTGCCTAACTGAAGCGGAATCTACATGCATTAGTGATACACTCCTGCGTGCAATCAGTTAAACGACAAACATGTTGCACAGCAAGCAGCCTTGTCTCTGAGCGGCTGCAGCTCCAGCCTGGACAGGAATTCGCAATCGACACTGCCAAAAGTCCCTGCGACCAGCAATGGCCTCAGCCTGTCGGCGCAAGACGTCGCTGTTGACCTGGACATGCTGACATGCTCAAGCTGATCTCCGGCACAAGCGCACGCTTTAGGCGCACTTTCTCTGCATCGAGTTGGCGCAGTCGCATCATCTCCTCGTCCTGCGACTGACTGCGTAACTCTTTAAACTTCATACACGCAGCCTTGCAAAGCTAGCGCCTCAGAGCGGGCGCTGCTGCATGGCGGCCTCGGCCTTGGCCCGTGCTGCCTGACCACATCACATACTCATTCAGCCACCGGATTCTTAAAGTGCCGCGGCTTCGCCCACAAGGCTTGGCTGTCCGATTCAAACTCAGCTTCACTTCAAGTGTAGACCCCAGAATCATTTACGTAGAGTTCGGAAACAGACATGTGCTCGTGCTGCACAGGCTGAAGCACCCTACAACCCCAGCTGCCCCAGCTCTACCATCCCGTGAGGCAGTGATTTTTCAGGAAAGGATATCATTAAAGCTGGTGGATCTCCGCCTCCGGAAGCGGAGTATCCAATTTCGACTACTTGGCACTGTACCAACTGGTTCTTAACCTGCCGAGCCAATCGTCGAGTCTGACAGATTGAACCCCTTCCCCTCCACTTTCTGCCTGCACACATGGCCCGCATGCAAAGCCAGAGAAGCCGGGCTCACCGTGTGGACCCCACCACTTGCCAGCGGAGCAGCTCAGTGGGTAGCCTCGGGGGAACAGCGAGGGAAGGAACGGCCAAAACAATCCACAACGGCTTTGGCAGAAGGTCGACAAGGCAGCAACAATCCAGACCCGACCTTAAGCCTCAACTTAATCCAACTCCTTCGCCGCTCAAGGTGCTCTTGCTCTGGGTACCAGCCTTCCAAGGGGTCACTGCAGCGTCGCGCCCGGACCAGCAAGAGATTTCCAGCTGGGACCTGATATGGCTGCCGAACAAGTTCTTAGGAAGGCTGGATCAAAGCCCTCGACCACAGTTACGACAATCCCGATCGACTTCTCCAAATTCTCAATCTATGATACAGCGCTATGCCGGAAGTTGTAGGCGTGACATATGATGCGGTCGTTAACAGTACATTCGGTAACACAGGCTTAATCATTGTACCAAGCATTACAACGATGAAACAAAATGCGATACGACACGATACTTTGCAAAGTTAGACAGACATGGAGAAACCGCAGACCAGTACAAGACACGCTGTGTGGGATAAGAAGACAACACTGACAACACCAGATGCGAGCACCTCAACATACAAAAACGAAACAATACAGATGTCGAGCTTCAAGAAGTGGAGACGAGTTCGCCCATTCACCCTGAACTAAAACATCATGTACGCCTGCGAGCACACACCTGCTGCTGCAAGCACACACCGGACACCTGGCAGCTGAATCGCCCTGAAGTTTTAAGTTGCGTGCAGAGTGGCCCAGGAGCGAAGTTGCTCGAGAGCTGAAGCTTCTGCTGCCACCGTCGACTGATCAGAAACCGACCGGTTCTCACATGATTGCTTTTTGCGCTGTCCTCTTTAGCCTCCTGAATTGAAGCCTTGTAAGCTACAGACGGTACAGGCCAACGATGTTCAAAATGCAAATGTCGTACAGATCTGGCGAGTGCGGCGAAATGTCTTCATGCTAACACTGGTCAACTGCATGCGGCTCGTCTCGGGAGCCAAATAAAACACATCTTGCGGCGTTGCCACACTCTTCCGGACGACCCAACCTGAAGCAACTACGCCCCGAAAGCCTTCACGCCCTCAAAGTTCGGGGTTTCCAAATAACTTTTGGCCCAGAGCCTGCGGAAGCGCCCACGGCCCTCTCGAAGGCGATGGGACAGAAGAGGCCACTGTAGAGCCATACCTGGACACTTTTCTTGGCTCAAGTTGCAAGCAACAGACAAACAGAAGCTTCTATCAGCTCTAAAACCTCTATTCGCACTGGCAACGGGCGTGGAAAAAACAACAGCTCTGCCCAGCTTTCACTGTGCAACTGGCTTCGAGCCGGTTAGGTTCATGCATGTGTGCTCAGCGCTACACACACATATCAAGCCTTCACCAAGGCTGTTCCGAATTACTTATACGAGTTACAGCCACTGGTACGGTTACAAAGTGTATCCAGGGTCAACATAGGGTTGTGCAAGAAAACTTCAACATGCCCCAAAGGCATACCCGTGCAAGAAACTAAGGGGTATGCTATAATTCCGAACATTCTTAGATTGCTCTGGCAAAAAGGAGAATGCCTAAGGTCCGGAAACGGGGGCAGGCGGCGGGAACAGGACTACTGCGGACCATCTCCGTGCTGAGAGGCCCCGAAAGCTCCAAATCCAAACCTAAACCCTAAACCCTGGACCCCAAACTCCAAGACCCTACACCCAAACCAGAATTCTGCATCCCGAAGCTCAACCTTGCTCGCCTTAAGCCCAAACCCTCCATCCATCCTCAAGCCTGAGCCCCCGAACTTTTCCAAGTCCTATTCAATTCACTCATGGACTCCAAGGTTTCGACTCAACCTTACAGCCTAAAACCTAAACCCGAAACTTTAAACCTAGTGCATTGCTGAAGTTCTCAGGTTTCAGGCCTCCCTACACCCTATGCTTTATGTTGTAGACTCTCTGAGCTTTTGGGTTCAGGTCCTGGGCTTTAGGGCAGGTCCTTGCAAAGCAACCTTCTGCAGCTGCTCCAGCAGCCCCATCTCCTCTACCGAATACGCGCCATGGCTTCTCACACTCCTTCCTGCTGCCTATAAGAATATAAGGGTTTAGGGTTGAGGGCTTAGGGTTTAGGGCTCAGGGCTCGGGGTTTAGGGCTCAGGTTTAGGGTTTAGGGCTCAGGGTTTAAAGTTTAGAGTTGTCTCTATTACCTCGCCAGAACCCTTTTTTTTGTAGGGTCCCTGAAAATTCTATATTGAAAGTTTTCATGATATCAAACCCATAAAAAGGTGGGGTTCTGGAATGGGTTCTGCTTTGTCGACCATCAAGTAAGTCTAGGTGTTTGGTTCTTCGACAAGCTTGTGCTAACAACACATCGGCGCTTGAATCTTGCAGGTCCGTGTGAGTTTGGTTTTTTACTACTGGCACGAACGATATATACAATGACATCATGTCCCCAAGACGAAATCAATACCCTCACTGAACAGTAATAAAGGCCATTGCTGATGTCAGCTTGCTCTAGTTCTTCTGACGATGCCGCTGCCAGCTTTCCGATAGTGCGAACGAAGCACCTCAGCGCATGTGCTCGAGCTGAAACCTTGTCATAGCCGCGCACGGCGAGATCCTAAGCCCTAAACCCTGCATCCCAAACCCGAAACCCCGAACCCTAAATGCTAAAAACTAAAACGCTAAACCCCAAACCCTGGACTCATCACATACGCCTGGGAGTTACACATGTCGCCTTCGCTCCATCAGGGTCTTGAGAGCATGTGTATTTCTGGCTGGAGGTTGTGCCTTTTTGCCCGCTTCCGCTGACCCCAAGAAGCGCTGTGGTCCCAACCCGCACGCTGGCGGATATCCTATCTGCGAACACGTGCGGGGACCCTGTGCCAGGTTGGTAGATCTTGAAGCCCTTAAAAAAGCTAAAGGGTACTTTATAAGGGATATGAGAAGGGAAAGTGCTCTTTTTTAGGGGATTCGCAGGGCCTTATGGCTGCAAACTTATATTCCGCTGTCTGCGGAAGGCTCGATGTACTGTAGTCCCATTGCACACCTCACGACAGCCTGAAGCACCTAAGAAAGTTGAGAATGGAATGGAACTTGGGCAAAACTCTCGAACCTCTTAAGAATACAATACTTTGGCCCAGACCTTAAATATGCGTGCCTTGCCAGTCATTTGTAGGTTGGTAACTGGACAGGAACCCGGCTTGTGGCACAAGCAGAGTGCAGTCGCAGACTTCCATTGTTGGGACATGGGTTTAAGGCTTAGGGTTTAGGGTTTAAGGCGTAGGGTTTAGGGTTTAGGGTTCAGGGTTCAAGATCTCGGATAGGCTTGAGAGTTTAGAGTTCGGGGTGTAGCAGGAAATGGTTTGGGGTCGGATTTAAGACCTTGATCCAGCCTTGGCCTTCTGCATGAACTTAACATGGGCTGCAACACGTTAAACAGACACCCCAAACCCTAACAAACCCGAACCCCTAAACCCGCAAAAGCCCTGATCCCTAAACTTTGACAAGCCCTGAACCCTCACCCCTAATAGGTTCCCTCTTTGGACTCTTTGGATTCCGTTATTACAAGGAATCATACATCTAATAAGTGGCTATAGAGGTGAACCCCATACCTTGAGGGATGCCCACATTGTGGACACCGCGACGGATGCAGGCATCCGTCTGCAACTGCATCGCTGCGTCGAGAAACACAGCCACAACTACGGGAGCCTGGTTTTGGGGTTTAGATTTGGGGGTGTTGAGGGTTGACGGTGTGGAGTTCAGGGTTGAGGGTTGGCGGTTTAGGGTTGAGGGTTGAGGGTGCCGCGTTTAGGGTTATTTGGTTAGTGTTCAGGGTTGAGGGTGTAAGTTTGCGGGTTTAGAGTCGAAGGTCTAAGCTTTGTCTTGTCGGGTTTAGGGTTAAAGGTTTCGGGCTGTGGGGTATGGGGTTTGGGGTTAAGGGGTTGGCGTTCAGGGTTGAGGGTTGAGGGTCTTGGGGTAGGGTGCAGCGGTTTGGGGTTCAGGGTATAGGCCAGAGGTTTGAGGGACTGAGGGGCGTATGCCAGCAGTCATGAAAAGCGAGACTGTCCACGACTGTGGCCGGCCGCTTGTCAATTGAAGAGAATTCAGGTGTAGGGTGTAGGTTTCAGGGTTTAGGGTTTCGGGTTCAATGTTTGGGGTTTAGGGTTCAATGTTTGGGGTTCAGGGTTCTATGTTTGGGGCTTGAGGTTCATAACAGGGTCCTTTAAAAAGGAGCACATGGGCTCTTATGAAGAGACATTGAAGGGGTGTAGAAAGGTTATATAAGACATCAGGATTATATAAGGCTATAGTAAATGGGCCGTGGCCTAAATCCTAAACCCTAAACCGCGCCCTCAAGACTAAATCCTAAACACAGACCCTAGACCCTAAACCGGCCCTGAACCCTAAACCCCCGAAAACTGCCCTGAATTTCCTGAGTGTCCACCGGGCGCTGCATCACTGCAGCGGCGGCTCAGTTGACGCGCGGCCTCTTTGGCGGCGTTTCAAGCTCCTGGCCAGGGCCGAAACCCTAAACCTTAAATACGAAACCCAATACCCAAAATACGAAACCCAAAACCCTAAATACGAAACCCTAAATACTAAACCCAAAACGTAAACCCAAAATATCAAACCCTAAACCCTAAATTCGAAACCCTAAACCTTAAAAACGAAACCCGAAACCCTAAGTACTAAACACTAAACCCCAAATACGAAACTCAAAAAAACACAGGGCCTGCTTCGGCCGCTCCCCATTTAGAGGACGCCTGTTTGGGTCTAAGAAAACCATACCCTCAACCCCAAGCCCGATGGCTCCAGGGTTGAGGCTGTAGGGCTCAAGGTCCCAATGTGATCCATAGGCTAAAAACTCCTTGCGAACCTTCAACAAGCCTTGTCGTAGCTTGTCTGTATGAGCTTTGACTATGGAATTTTTGACAACCCTAATGACACCCGAAAGCCCAAACCCTCAACCCCGAACCTTGAACCCCAAACCCTCAACCCTCGACCCTAAATCCTCAACCCTAAACCCTCGACCCTAAACCCTCAACCCCAAACCCTCAACTCTAAACCCGAAACCTCTTACACTTCTAAACCTGCAGCTCCTGGTCCAAGAGCTGCCGAGGAATCCTGGGAGGGTCATCGTACCTCCGGAACGACACCCTGAACCCTAAACCCGAAACCGTTTGGGGGTTTAGCGTCTTAGGGTCTGGAGTTTTAAGTCCAAAGCAGTTTCCGCTAGGTAGCCTCCGCCTAAACGCTAAACCCTATAAACCTTTACCCTTAAACCCTAAACCCTAAATCAATCCTAGACCAAAAACACTCTCTTTCATATGAGAACTTATACCCTGCTGGCATTCGTGAGCATAGGTCCAGACTTCGTGGGCATAGTTCAAAATTGCGTGGGCATAGGTCAAAGTTGCGTGAGCGTAGGTCAAAACTTCGTGGGCATAGAGCTGCCAATGTAAATATGTAAAACAGTAGGAACTATGTAAAACAATAAGAACGATAGTTTCCCAATGTTATGGGAACCTAGAGGGCGGGTGGGGTTTTCTCTATGCTTGAATAATAAGTTGATCTTGTGATTTGCTTGGACTTGAGATGCTGAGCGCTCGACCCTAAACCCTAAACCCTAAACCCTGAACCCTAAGCGCCGTACCTCCGGAATTCGATGTGGAGCTTCGCGTTGATCAGTATGCGGCCCGTTTCGCGGAGCTTGAGCACTGGCTTGTGCTTTGGATCAGGCCCGACTTCGAACACCTCGCAGGGTTAGGGTTTGGGATGTAGGGTGTAGGTTTTAGGACTTGGTTCAGGGTTTAGGAGTTAATT